TCTGGCAGTTACTACCCCTAAATGTTTATGAATGTTCTTATTTATATGAGTTAATGTTTTTATATAAACTCGAGTTTAACTACAATTTTTGTGTTTAACATTAAACACTACTTAATAATCGTTTCAAGCATACTTTTTGGGGTTTATTTAGATAAGTTAATATTCTTCCTTAAACTCGGAGCTCGCACCACACCGAATAAGGACGATTTATATATGTGTTGATGTGTATCTTTTATATTAATCTTTCAATAGTGGTGTATAATAATTACCATTTCAAGACTCCTCCTTTATAGAGCTTACAAAAGCTAGACTTTACCTATGGAACCCATTGCCTCTCGCGTCAACAGAATGTTTATGTAGACCATTCTTAATACTCATGAGTGTGGTATTCATCAAGTTCTAATATAAAATATGTTTTACATAATTAGCGCTCTCCCTGAACAGTTTACACATAGTATTTCTTGGTTGTGGTGTTTAACATTAATTCACCAACTAAACGCTTTAAGTGAATCGTTCAAGGCTTACGTTATTTTTAGAAGAAGTATATTCATGGGCAATTTATCGATAAGAGTAAACATTTATTCTTCCTTAAAAATTCCTCGCTTTAGATCTACGCGCAGTATTAGGGACATAATTGATACATTCTTAAAGAATTTGTCGAATTTGGGTAAATGAGAGGCTTGCTAATGACCCTATCTTATAATCAACATGATACTGTCTACTAGCTATAAAAATACCTGTGAGATGGTTCAATTATTATGGATGTGCATATATCAAATTAAGAAGGTTCTGGATACGCTCTGTAATATTTTTAAATCATAATAACTTATAATATCTTATAAACGCAAATTTGACACTGCAAATCAAAAAGAATTGGATAGGCCACTAAATTCGGAATATGTAACCATCAACTGTTCCCGTAATAAATTAACAAAAAGAAATTGTCATTTATTTATTAAAGGGATTTTTATTGTGGAATAGTTGATTTTACGTTACTTTTAAGTTAAGCACAATATAAAATAGTTATATTATTATAGTACAAAAACTTTAAAAGTCTACTGCTCACACTAGCCTCATCAGAATCTCGTTTCCTTCTCAATATATATCCTTCAAAAAGTTCATTATTAGTTCTACCAATATTAAAACCTCAGACTTTCTTATATATAATAATCTATAAGGTTAATTTATAGAACTATATTGCACAAAAGTCTCCGCGCGTCCTATATTACTATACAAGAAATAGATTTAACGCGAAGTTCTTACTCAAAAAAAGAAAGTACCTAAAATTCGTTTAAACATAATGTTGGTCTGTGTATCTTATATTTATGCCAATTTTACATAACTTGCACTTAATATATCTCTGGTACGTATACTCCAAGCTGATGAAAGATGCTTTGCGGCCCTAATAAAACAATACCACGCTAATATATCACAAAGATTCTATATCTACCTTGGAAATTTGAAGGTTTTACGTAGCACAACAGAAATGAACGCTTTGACCAATTCGTCGTAATCCCAACCTACGTTGTTTCCGTTGGTTAAACTGCTCCAGGATAAATTATACTATGTTTATTTGGTTGCCAAAAAGTAAAAGCGGGGAAAGGCCATCTAAAAAACAACCCGAACAGACAGACGGGTAACGACTCGCTCTTTCGCCATAAGATATGCTAGCATGCAAAACATTTGTTTTCGAACCATCCTTCACTCTTCGCGGGTTTTCGTTATCAAAATTTCACACACCACAAGACAATTTCGGCAAATCAGCATAAAACACCCGATAACCAGCGAGCTATATACCTTAAAAAAACAAGATATTTGTAAAATTATGCGCTACAGAGTATAATTTTTAGCCCGCTTAGCACTTTTCAGATGTTTATTATAGAATAGATAAGTGCTGTGGGTCCTTGTAATGTGTTTAAATGTTGAATATTGAGATGTCTGACTTCGAACATGGATAACGAGCTTCTTGAACAGGCCTTCAGTCTGTTGCTATACATCTCTATATAATATCTTTCAAATCAAACAACATACTCTAAACCAACATTAAGTGATTATGATTCTTACTTATATAATAAAGTGAGTTACATAAGTACAGACCACAATGTAGACTTAGAAAATCAATACGCGCAGTATCCCTCTTTTTGGGGTTTATTTAGATAAGTTAATATTCTTCCTTAAACTCGAGTTTAATTACGATTTTGGTGTTTCTTAAAATTTCGAATTTGGATAAATAACTTTAAACCCCTTTAAACACAACTGTTCCTTAAACCTGAGTTTAATTGTGAATTTGGTGTTTAACCTTAAAAACTATTTCAAAATTTGAAAAAAAAAATTTAATAAACTTTAAATCACTTCAAACACTACTTTTCGGTATTTATTTAGAAAAGTTCATATTGTTCATTAAACTCGAGTTTAATTACGAAGTTAATTTTTAACATCAAACGCTACCTACAAAATTAGAGTTACCAAAAAAAAAAGTACCTAAAATCGCTTTAAACATAATTTGTTTTGGTGTTTATTAGACATTTACATTATTCCTCAAACTCGAGTTTAACAGTGATTGAAGTGTTTCGCATAAAATCACGCTTTTAAATTTTGAATTCACAATAAAAAAAAATTTTAATTACCGTATAATGTTTACGTTACGTTTTAATGTTTATTTAGATAAAACTGGGTTTAAAAATTTAATGTTGAAAATTGAATTTACTCGACACTGTAGACTTTTGACAGCTCAGCATTGTATACATCTTTATTTAAAATCATCAATTACTAAACACTAGATTGAGACTTACTTAAGTATGTTCAAAAACACAAACCCTTAAACTTGAGTTTGTGAAACAAAGAGGTGTATGTTCAACCTACCAAACACGATGTATACTTCAGAAGTGAAGTTGTGGATTAATGCCTCCACTAAAATAAATGCCTTTTTAGCCTACTTAAGGCTGTATAGTTATATATACCCTGGTCAAATATTTCTACATCAAATAACAAATAACTCGATTTAGAAAGCTAATAACTGAATACCAATTTTATAGTCTTTCCAGCGCATGTCTTATCAAAACAAACTGCTTCGAAAAACGTCTAAGAGTTTCAATTGCGTATCTCATCTAACTATTTAGCATTCAAAGAGTACGAAAGATGCTACATGACGCCGTCGCCTAGTTTTAAGCTCGATAAGAGCCGAAAACATTCTGCATCTCTGCCTAGAAACTAAGGACGAACATCTTTGAAAATTATTAAGAACGGCTTGGAATAACAAAAAAATTTTTTTCAAAATAACCTGTTTTAGATAATGCTCTTAGCTTATATAGTTAGCACTAGGTTATGTTCTGTAAAGCCCACTGTTTATCGATGCCAAACATAAGAGTAACTTCAAAATGTTATGAGCCGTATGGTAGAAATATATGAAAGAGTAAAACAAAGAAGCATTTGATATAGAAACTCGATAACCTACAAGTTGAGGCTTTAAGCTTTGTGAAAGCTTTCACAGAGATTTTCATCTTAACAATAAATTTTATTTAGTTTCTTAACAAGTTCAATACAAAATAAATTGACTGCTTTGCATCTTTCGAAAACTGAACCTCTAAAAATAATTAGTCTGACGATTTTTTCCAAAAAATGTAAAGTAAATGAAAATCTATTAAAAAACATTCAGCATACTTTATATTATGTGTATAGTTTTGAATTTCCATTTCACTTCATTGTCGTGTTTAATATCTCATAATCACAGTAAACATGCTTCTCCGATAAGCATTTGGCGCATTGGGTATACTCAAGATCTGCCAAGCAGATCTTATCTTCCCTCATCTACGGCAAGTAAACAAATTGTGCCACTACAGATTACTGGTGCTGTTATTGTGGTTGTTGTTGCTATCGTGATCTTGTCGTTCCCACTCTCTGTGCTAGTCAGCGGTGACAGCCATAATGAGGCCAACGCTTGCCGACTGACACCAGCTGTGGCACGAGCACGACCTATGACGGTAGTCAGCTACAATCAGCGACAGCTACAGCAAGTCGACGAGCAAATATTTTGCATTTGTGTCTCATACCTATATATACATATATGTATATATTGTTTTTTTGTATTTATTTTGAGACAATATTAGGTCAGAATGAAAGTTTTTGCAATTCGCGAGTCACTTTGTTGCTTATTAGCATTTTATTGCTGATTTCTTATTAATTTTTTTTTTCCTCAAATGAAGTGTGTTTTTTTGATGTCATTAGCAACTTTCGCTTTTCGCGCGGGAACAAAGCATCGGCGTACTATTGGCGCGTGTTTTTAAGGCGTGTTCCATTCTTGAAGATTTTTTATATGGATTTTGCTTTCAATTTCTGTTACTTTCTCCTGCTTTTCGATATGTGTACATGCTTAGTTTGTTTTATATTTTATAGCAAATTGGAGTCCTTTTTAAAAGCTTTAGAATAAAACCCCAATTATTTAATATTTAGGGAAAAGTTTTAATAAAAATTGTTGGAAAAACATTTTGTTTTAATATTGCTAAACAATCCCGGGGAAAATATGGGTAAATGTATTATGCAATTATGGCTAGAACATTGTGTTTCAGTGACTCACACAACTTTAAAAATTAAAAAAAAAATTTTTTTTTGGAAATTTTAGGTATAATAGTGGACTTCATTAGTCTAAATACTCTTAAAAAATTTCAAAAAAAGTATTTTAATAAATGTTAATTAAACATGGATACTTTTTAAAGTTATATTATATAATATAATAATTAATAAATTTTTCAGCACTTTTTTAAAACCTAAACAAAATATTCAAAAACCGCATAAAAAAAGTTATTGGAATCGTTTGACCCGGCCAAATTCACAACGGGTTAAACAATTTAAATTTATATAGAAAAAAAAAAATAAAATCGTTCCAAGCAATTTCTAACATTTATTATAACAGTTCTTTAGTACCCACACTCAATGAAACTTATAATATTTTCAAATATTCATCTTCGCAAAGTTTGCTCATTTCTTTGAACATAAGTTTTTTGGTTATTTCGAATTTATTAAATACTTCCACTTTTTCAGATGGGCACAATACGTCAAATAAAACCAACCGCTTTTCCACCGCCTGCCTGCCACACAACTGCCCATGCCACAGCCGCAACTGCTACGAGTACGTCAAACAGGAATTCAACTTCAAACATGTCAAGTAAATATAGTGCAAATAATGCAAACAAAATAGTGGCAACAACAACTTATAACACAAAAATAACAAGAGTAAAGGTGCTGCTTTCATCTTTTCAAAATACATTGAGCAACACAACGCAGCAAGAACAACAAGAGCAACACCTGCATCCAAACAAAAACAACAACAATACAACACTATGGCAACCGCTAAAAGCTGTTGTTGCATCGCTGCTACCACTACTGCCGCTGCTGGCGTTTCTACTTCTGCTCAGTGACAGTGCAACTCCAACACAGGCGACGCCCGTTTTTGTCGACAATCCGAGTTTAGCACAATGTGAGTAGTATCTAATACACATATTCTTATTTACACACATATATATATATATATATATACATAAACATTATTACATACGAGTATGTATTATGGTTACACGAAACAAATTTCCTAAGCTGAAAATTGGGTGAACAAACCTTTCGAGTTCCTAAACTGTTTGCTTTACTCAAGATAAGACGCAACAAAGTTTAAGTGTAAAACATATATATATATATATATACATCTATACAAACATACTTAAATTATTTAAATTCTGTTGGCTTAGCTTTGCCTAGATTGTCTGGGGAAAAGCTGAAAGAGAGTTAGAAAAAAACTCGTTTTATATGCGAGCAATTAAAAAGCTCTGCTTTCGAGCGAGTTACTTGCATCTCTTCAGTTATTATTTAGATGCCAATGAACCGCCTCTTCCGTGGCTAAAGGCATATTTAGTTTTATTAGTGAGCATAAATACATACAGCAGATAACCTAGCTAAATAAATGCAATAATTATATTTAAGCAATGAAAGTCAGTCAACCAACCGGCTACAGCAGAAAGCAGTGAATTCTTAGTTAGACAACCAACTCGACGTTTGTAGAATTTATTCATGCTGTGACATTTATGGCTCGCAGCGGATTTCCTGCGTTCAAGTAATTAGAACTAGTTTCGGGTAGTGCTTTTATGAATTTGTATTTTATAGAAGAGTTCTTAATTACATGTTGAGTTAGTTTTAAGTGCACAGTTAAAAGTTAAGAATAATAATAATTATAATTTTCAGAATAATTCAGAAATATAGTTTGAATAGAAGGTATGTGATTGAAGCCGAGAACTGGTTGCTTTGTAACAATTTTCCATTTAGAGATTGAAGATGTTGTAAATTGCATATTTGATAAATTAAACAAGAAAAAGCGTTAACTTCGGTTGTACCGAAGCTATAACACTCTTTACAAATCAACGGGTTCTTTACAAGAACAAGAAGAAGATTTTGCTCAATCAATTTGTATAGCAGCTATTAGCTATAGTAGTTTGATGTGAACAATTTCGTCAGAGATTCTACTGCTGATTTAGGCAATAATCTCTGCCGAATTTCGTGAAGATATCTTGTTAAATCAAAAAGTTTTCTGAAGAAAGTAGTCGCCCAGAAGCGGCTTGCTTTGGATAATAGGATACGAATTGTGTTCCATGCATCACACAGTTAGACTTTTTCCTGTGCGGATATGTAAAGTCGCAAATTTATGCAGTCAGTACCGCTTCGCTTCAGGCCTTGCAGCAAAACAGCACGCGTGTCATTCGCCAGTTAGCAGTCGAAATGCTCGAACGAGTAATCGATAATTGGACTCAATGGATGGACCATATAAGACGTAGCTGCGGCCAATATTTGAAAGAGATAATCTTCAAAAAATAAATGCCAAAGAATGTTCTTTCGAATGATAATAAACATTTCCGATTAAATTTGAATTTTCTGTATTTTTTTCTTTATGAAAGAAGAGAACTTCGAAATGGATCACCCTATATTTCGCAAAACTAACCCACTTTTAAACATTTCTAGTCAATTATAATTTAGAAATAAATTTTAGAATTCAGCTTTCATTTGGCTTGTCATTTGGCTTTTCATATTAAAACTTTACTTTAGTAAGGTTTTGTACTCTCACCAGACGTACGACCCTCACGACACGTACGTTACAATAATCATATAATATATACCTGTTCATACAAATTCAATCCTATAGTCGCATCCGGCTACACCCGCATTTCCCAGAAGCAATTTATACACCAACTACGCAGTTCAAGTAAATTTCTTTGTGATCATGACGTACCAAACGAAACGCTTTCATTCAACCGCCATGAGACAGTAAAAGTGGGTAAAACAAGTATTTTTGGTTTTTCTTTTTTAAAACGACGGTTTCGACAAATTTAGTAGTTAAAATATAAAACAACAACAAAAAAAAACAAGCAACAACAACACTTTCAAACTCTTTAAATACTTATTTAAGTTCTTTGTTGTTGCAACGCAGGCAGCGTATTTTAAAGCAACAAAGTATTTTGTTGCGGTTGTTGTTGGCAAAAGCATTGTCGGCGATTATCTTAATGAGTTAGTTGACATCAGCGCTAGCAAGTGAGTTATATTCGATGAGCGATAAGCATAAGACGGATATGTGTGTATGTGTAGATTTAATCACACATACATATATGTAGTTACATGTATGGTTATTTATAACAATTTTGGAAAGCAATGAGTAAGATATTAACTATATGACGGTAAAATCACGATGCTAAGTTGTTAGGCGGCTGAAGATTTGTCGTCATAGAATTTGGTTCACTTTCTCTCACGTACAAACTTGGTGAGGTTGTGTAAGCTGGTATGTCGGGATTTGTATGAAAAATTATGAGAAGTGAACAATAAATTGTTGTGAATCGTGGGCGTAGGTAGAAATTTTGTGAGATACTTTTAATTTATATTAAATTTTTAAAATTTTATTAATTCTTTTACATTAATGTTTTTTTTTTCTTAATTAAAAGTGTTTGTCTTTTGTCAGTTAGTTTAGATATATTTTCAAACAAAACTGACTGCTGACCTAGATTTTCATTTTCTTTTTAAGTTAAACTAAAATTACACTCAGTAGATTTTTTCCTCATTAACACACAAAGAACGCTCCAAAATATGCATCATTTGTCAGATGCTTGGTGTTGAGCTTTGGTTTCAGCTCTGGAAAACCACATACCTATTGGTTGTTGTTGTAAAGCACAATAAAAATTTATGTCAAAAACTGTGACAAGAAACATTTTTTATTATGCGTCACATTTTCTAATTTGTATGCAAAAGTCTCATTTTGTACTGCGGGCATCAATCAGCAAACGCACAAAAGACTTAAGCGACAAACCTGAAGAGCAAAAGTTTGAAATGTGGAACAAGTGTTGGCTAGTCTAAATGAAAGTGATGATAAGGATGCAGAAACGTTGGTGAGAGACAGATATAGACACACATACAAACATAAAAAACTTTGTGAGGCACATATACTGGGCACCAATAGGCGCCCACATACAGCAAATCAAGCAGACAAGTGAAGACACGAATTCGTGCAATGATACAGCAAATTAATAGCAATTTTTACGAGAGCCAACGGATGCGCACGCATAGAATCTACGTCGAATATAGGTCAAGAAGCGCATAAAAAAGTGATTAATTTACATGTAATTAGCACTTCTTCCATGCCAGTTGTCGGTTGATGGCTGTTGACTGCCAGTATGAGTTTTATGCTCATTATAAATTATTTATTTTGATTAATATAATTTTACGGCATAGCGGGGGCATAAATAAATACAGATTTGAGATGCGTAAAGCCGAAGATAGTGAAATAGCTAAAATATTACTCAGCAGCAGAATATACATGAAGAGCTGGATGATAAATTAGTAAGACAGTAGCGAGTGAAAATCACTAAAATACATACAAACACAGAAGTGTATGCTTGACTGAAAATTTCAAGAATTACATAAATCAAAAAGTAAAGAAGAAAATACGCAGCAACCAACTTGGGGTGTCCAAGCGTGTTGTTGGTGAAACCGGCACAAGGAGGAAATGGCAAATACTTTCTTATAAGGCGATCAAAAGCAATTGAGGTCAGCAGCAACAGGCAACAGGCATCATTAACAATAACAACAAATAGAGAGAATGTTGCTATAAAAATGGGCAATATCACAAGCAACTAACCACTAACAGCTAACACAACAACCACCAGCACAAACATAACAATGCGGGTAACTTGCGCTTGTTCATAAACAACAGCCGTGCAAGCCAACGCACAAACAGCGCGTTCTTTTACAGCTTTTCTTTACAACAAAAGCTTCAAGCTTAGCGCGCGACCTCGTTGCCAGCCACGGCGGTCAACACAAATCACGACTGTCCACACACAAGCAATGCGGGAAAAGTAAAGGAAATTCAAAATCAAGCAACATAAAAAAGAAGAACAAGTTAAAAAAATGCATCAAAAGGAAAGCAAGTTGATGAAAAATCTTTCAAGAAAGTGATCAGATAATTGCATTCAAGTAATTGACTCACGCGCCGACAGTCGCGGCAAGTGAGAATATCTCTATGTACAAGTATATTTTTTGTGCATAGAAATCGGGCGCGTTGATTTGACCACTACAACGAGTCTAATTTTAGGTGGTGAATGGTGGTAGCCACCGCATGCACCACTTTTGTGGCAAGAATGAGTAATTGGCTTTCAAATAATAAAACCACGATAATCAAGTGAAAGGGAAATATTTTGTGCTTCATTCTTTTTTGATTTTGTAGCTTAATTGCTTTAGAGAGACCTACATTTTGACAAATATAAAAAAAAACAAAAACTTATTGCAAGGAAGTTTCGGCAACTCACTGATTAATGGTGTAGCAATAAAACAGGGCTGAATGATTTTTACTGGATTTTTATAGAATAGTTTTGAATTTAATTAAAAAAATTCGGTTGGCAGGCTAATTTTTTATTGAGCAATTTCACTAGTTCACCAAACTTAGTATATTTCGTTCTTCAGTCACTTCGACACTTCGAATGCAGTTGATCACCTAACCAAGCAACTGAAAAATTGCTTGTCACAAATTGTGGTTTTAGTTGTCAATATAGTCACAAAGTAGACCTTGTCCTTGGCTGTCATTAATACATTTTTTTATTTTTTTATTTTAAATGCAAATACTTCATCATTACAGGTTTTACCTAAAGCAATGCTGTTGCTATGAAAAAAAATTTGAATATCTCGAGGAAGTTTTTTTATTCCTATAGACATATTTGACTCCTATAGGTACATATTTTTTTGCCGGTAATGCTGAGCATTAAACTAAAATCAATTCGAATATTTTATATAATATTTCAAAATTTTTTCGAAGTTTTAAAAAATTTCGCTTCAATAAGCAGCTTAAAAATTATACCTGAATGGTCTAACTTATTATTAGTTTGCTTATCTATTTTCTCATATAAAGCTGATTTCTTTCTAAACGAGTAGCATAAGAACGCTCAATTAAACACAATT